TAACTATTTCATGATCAATTTATGTTCTTCTTTTTTATCATGTAAATAGGAAAAACTGTATTGCGAAAACATATTGTTTCTACATGTCCAGCATTACTTCATGTATATTTCAGGATGCTGGATGAGCTGGTAAAGAAGCACGGCAGTATGTGGCACATCCACCTCCCTGCTGCCACGCTCCGCCTCTGCTGCACAAATCACCCCACTACCAAAGAGAAACCCTTCACCTGCATGTGTGCCAGTGACCCGCCTTTCTCATCGGCACCCAGAGAACTGCCTGTAAGTCACCATATCCTTCACAGTTTACATTCTTTCATAAGAATGTACTAAGCTACTATTACTACTTGTTTTGTAATGTACTGTAAATTGACACTTATGGCAGTTTGCTTTACTTATTTTTTTGTTTGATTGGTCTCTATAGTACAGTGCTACTGATGTTCGCTTGAGTTCTTTTGTCATCCCAACCACTGACGCCAACAATATAGAAGCTGTGCCTGAAACTTTGGTAAGAGACCTGAATAAAAATATAATTGGATTGTTTTTTGATTTGGTATTGTTAGTGAGCGTAATTTTTTTTATCTTATTTTTCAGGTGCACTGCCTGAAGGATCAGATTTTTTCCCAGTAAAGAAACTAAAAGTTTTTTTTACTTGACCTCATGTTTTCATGTTTTTCCATGTACATACATATACTGTAAGTAGAGAAGCAAATTTGCACTGTTGCCTTGTACAAATATTATAAAGAAATATAATTATTTTTTATTTAACTGAAAAAGAAGCAGTATCTTGTGTGTTTAATCTCTTTTGTTTATCCTTTGGCTTCATTTGTGTTGATATTATACAATTAGTTCCAACTTGATTGGTGTTCCAAAATTGCTGATATAAAGTCCAACGGCACTGAGAAGTTTAACTGTTCACTTCCCTCTGCTTGTCTGTATTTTTGTGCTTTCTAGACAGACTGTGCATTTTAGTGGTGGGGATTTTACAGAATACCAGCAATGTATTATGACTCTTCCAGTAAGCACATTTATATGGTTTATCTACAATATGTGAACTATACAGATCAAGGCCTTAAAGGGTTAGTTCACCCAAAAATTAAAATTAGCCTGTGTTTTACTCACCCTCGAAGCATCCTAGGTGTATGTGACTTTCTTCTTTCAGACGAATCCATTCGGAGTTATATTAAAAATTGTCCTGGCCCCTCCAAGCCTTTCAATGGGGCTAAGCGGGTGTTGGTTGTCAGCAGTTCAGAAGACGTGAAATCACTTTTACATTACATACAAAACTGAACTATTTTAATAGCTGAAACAGTAGTATAATATTTTTTGGGAAAAGGGGAAAAAAGACTGGCTAGGGCCTATATTTGAGGCCCGTGCAGGGCTCTAATCCACTTCATCCAACGCTGTTTTGTTCTGCGGCATATGTATTTGTATATGTATTTTACCATTTTGTTGAGTTTAAAATGTGTGACGCATTCGTTCTGCTCTCACTGATCATTTGGTACCCCCCCCTTCTGTGCGTACCCTCGGAAAAAATCCTGCAGGCGCCCCTGTACCACACCACCACAGTACACTGCTGTAACTGCCTGAAATTTCATTTCAACTACCCATTTAAATTTAATCTTTCTACATCACTTTTTTTTTTAACTTTTTAACTTTATTCTCTATTCTCACCTACAGGTTAAAATCAATCCTAGAAGCAGAAGAGCTTTGGTGAGTTATATAACCTTTTTTATATTTATATGGTTAAATATTTTCTTTGGATTAATTAACACAAATAATTCTAAAAATGAATTTACAGAGAAATTACAATTTCAGAAATAATTTATAAAATGAATGTTTGAATGTGAAAATATATATCAGAAATAAGAAACCATGAAAGACTAAATATATGACAGAGTTTAAAGGGGTCATATGATACGATTTCAAGTTTTCCTTTCTCTTTGGAGTGTTACAAGCTGATTGTGCATAGATAAGAGCCCTGAAGTTGCAAAGACTAAAGTCTCAAAACCAAAGAGATATTCTTTATCAAAGTTAAGACTCTGCCACGCCCCCCTTGGAGGGGCCAGGACAATTTTTAATATAACTCCGAATGGATTTGTCTGAAAGAAGAAAGTCACATACTCCTAGGATGCTTTGAGGGTGAGTAAAACACAGGCTAATTTTCATTTTTGGGTGAACTAACCCTTTAAAGGGATAGTTCACCCAAAAATGAACATTTTGTCATCATGACTTTTTTCCGTGGAGCGCATAAGAAGATTTTTTTGATGAATATCTGTAACCAAGCCGATTGATTTCCATTGTACAGAGAAAAAATACTGAATCATCTTTTAAAATATGTTCATTTATGTTTCATAGAAGAAATAAAAAATGTCATACAGGTTTGAACAATATGCGGTTGATTAAATGATGGCAGAATTTAAATTTTTCTGTGAACTATCCCTATGAATAGTATTAATACTGAATGTCAATGTCATGTTCTGTACTCCAGTGAGCACCCAGCGCTGCAGGCGGCGCTATAGAGCAGTTTTGATCGGTAAGTGTCCTGAACAAAATAGAAGAGCTGGCTGCACCATACACGAGTTTCTGTTAGTTAGTTGAGCTGAAGTCCACTCACTAACTCCACTAACTAACCAATGCATTTCTCAGAGGCGCGCGCATGACGCATACGTCTTACGTCATCCGCCTGCACGACTTCTGCGTACCACAGTCAGCGGAAGTGAGAAAAAACTAACCAATCGTTTGCAAATATACTCGGTCTTAAATGCATGCATCTCGCTGCTTAACAAAAGTTGAAATGTTGAAAACATACGTTGAAAAAATTGACTTAAAATGAGAAAATTTATCTTAGGAATTGATGGGTGAGTAAACTAAGCGCGTATAAAGTTCAAATATTGTCCCATGTTCAGTCCCCGCATATGTGAATTATACATGAATTGACTTGGCAGGATGACAAATGGAGGAAAGACGAGTAAAAGCCTCCAGGAGCTTCTGCAAAACAACTTATTTCTCAAGACAACTTTTTCAAGGTACCTACCACACCCACTTTATTTGTTAGTTCATTTTTCATTCTCTGTGGAAGTAGATCAGTTAGTCATTTAACATGTAGATGACAAAAATTCTTGTTAATTTGTGTCTATTTCTCAGGATGACTCAGTGGTCCCTGCTGATGTCAATGGCTTTAAGCAATAATTATGACAGTAAGAACAGTCCTCTTATTTGCTACTTGCTTTGCTTTTCTGTTTAATGTCTCTCAACATGGCAGTTGTCCTGTTTTGCAAAACACTATTTTATATAGGGTAGAGTGGGGGAGAACCATTCTAAATAACCACTAGATAAAGTCAAGATACATTCTTGTTGTAACTATGGACTGCGTTGACAAGTGTGATGTAGACGTATTGACCATGAAGCTTACACTGGTGATGAACCTGAGAGAAAAAATATTTCACAGTAAAAAAAAGTGTTTTAAAGCATGTTGTTTTGTAGAACATCACAGTTATATATGATATGAGAATATTAAGGCCTGTAGATAGAGAGTATGTGTTACTTAATTGAAATATAATTATTTTCAGAATGACATATATATTATTATTATTATTTTTCAAACCTAGTCTGTGGGGTAAAACACGACTTACTTTCATCTTGGAAACGCAAATGAAGATATTAGATTTAATAACACCTGAAAGATTTCACAGAAGGTCTGTGAAACCAAAACCAAAACTTTGATGCTTCTTAAAAAGTTCATAAAGTAATTGTAAACATAATCCATATGAATTTAGCAATGAGTCTTCCGAAGAGACAGTCACTTTATATGATGAACAGATTTAATTTAGACTGTAATTGACTTATAAACACTGATCAATGCACATACATAAAGCACTTTGTCAAACAGAAGCGCAACCATATTTACTTGATGCATATTTTAATGTATTTATATTATGTATGCTCATATACATTTACAACATTTAACTATAGTTTATTTACATGACTATTAGCTGATATAATTACAATCCTATTATTCATGCAAATTTAAATAGACCATTTGAGAAGAAGAAGAAATATTGGAGACATTTATAGAGCAGTTTTATCCTCAAAAAAAGTTATGTATTTTACCTTATGTTGGCTCTTTTGGTTGTCACAGCAAAAGGGAATGCTTTGGATCATCACTGAACAATCTTTAATTAAAACCTGGTATGTTAAGATGTTGAGGTATTTACATTTTTTTTGCAATACTCTGTTCAGTGAGTTTATGCAACATTTATAATGCAACATTTCCGTTGCATTATTCAGAAGTGTGAATGACCTCTGGATCACTTAAACATGATTGAGCATGGATTGCACCAGCATGAACAGTTTAATGTGTTTTCATGGATCCATGTTGTACTTCCAGGCCACTTAATAGCTTGTTCAACAAGAGGTACTTCCTGCAGATCCCTTATGAGACGTGTAAAGAGAGAAGAAGGTAGGAACGAGACTCCTGTTTGATGAGTTTGGTTTGATGAACCATTAATGTTTCGACTGAGACCGTCACCTTTTACTGTCTCTAATCAATAGCTCAAGAGTCTATGTGCCTCCGGATCCACCAGGCTACTTTGATGGATATGTCTGGCCCATGTACTTGAAAAACAGAAAAGCAATGGAAGAAACTGTAAATGACATAGGTACTGTAATATTTTAACACTCAATAAGCACAGTGACTTAAATCACTTTTATTGTGGTGAATTGTGTGAGTGAGGTCTTTGCACTTTATACAGTGTTTCTGGATGGCACACAGAAGAGCGAGACGTTGCTCTCAACTGTTCTTGCAGACATTCAGGAAATGTTTATGGTTATACAGAGATGAGTTGTCACGCGAGTAGTTCAGCAGCACACTTATATGATTTTGCCATTTACACTCATTCATTTTTTTCTCTGTCTGAATTTAATTCCCAGATTTTGAGGACCAACGTTTCCAGCTGTCTGTTTCTGCAAGTACACTATCAGAATCAGAATCAGAAGCAGCTTTATTACCAAGTATGTTTACACACACAAGGACTTGGCGACAAGAGCTTCCAGTGCAGAAGAAAGCACACACATAGTGCAAACATACATGATAGTGCAGGCATACATAGAATTGCACAGTAAAGACGAAATAACACTAATATAAGAAAAACTGAAAAATAAATAATGCACTATATATAGAAATAGAAATATAGAGAAAAACATGTAATTGTTTAAATGAATGTACAGATATGTTATTTACAAGTGTACCGTTGTGTAGTTTACAATATACAGTTTCCAGATACTATGTATAAAAGTGTCAGTTATGATGGACAGTGTGTAGTTGTGAACTTTTTAATTGTTCAGGCTGAATATGGCCTGCGGGAAAAAACTGTTCTAATGCCTGGCTGTTCTGGTGGTCGGTGCTCTGTTTAGCAATGGAGTCTATGTGAATGTCCCACTTCAGTTCCTGTGAGATGGTATTGCCCAGCAACCTGAATGACTCTACTGCAGCCACAGTGCTGTTCATGATGGTGAGTGGGGGGAGTGCAGGGGGGTTCCTCCTGAAGTCCACTATCATCTCCACTGTTTTGAGCTTGTTAAGCTCCAGGTTGTTAAGACTGCACCAGACAGCCAGCTCTTTAACTTCCTGTCTGTAAGCAGACTCGTCTCCATTGTGGATGAGACCGATGATGGTTGTGTCATCTGCAAACTTCAGGAGCTTGACAGAGGGGTCTTTAGAGGTGCAGTCATTTGTATACAGGGAGAAGAGCAGTGGGGAGAGCACACATCCCTGAGGGGCACCAGTGCTACTACTAGTATGAATATATCAATGTGTTCATCATAGCATTCATTAATGTCTTTTTTCACTTCCTCATTAAAGTGCATTTGCGGCAAGCTATGTGATTGTCATGCGACAGTCTAAAGCATGTGGATTCATAGTACTCAAAATAAGTGAATTAACAGCAGAGCATGTTTATGAACGATTTCACTTGACATATGTCACAGTAAATGTTAACAATGACAATGAGTTTTTTTTTTTTTTTTTTTGTACAAATGCGTTCATCTCTTATGGAGTTATTGGATCAGGTGTTGAATTTAATTGGAATTAGGGTTGAATCTAAACTCTGAATCTAAAATCTAAACTCTGCAGAGCTCTGGCCCTCCAGGAACTAAACGCTGGATTTTCAAAAGTATGTGAAATATGTAAAGTTCGCGACATAGACTCTTGAAAATACGTCCAAGAGTTTCTGGTCTGTTATTATGGGGACATTTCCATGCCCCTAAACATGACGCGGCACAAAACAAAACATGATTGGTTTATTTACCTGTCAGTTATATGGCCTCTTTGGCAGTCCTTGGCCACTCAAAGCCGCCAAGGTTCCCAGACCTTCTGCCAGAGTTGGCAAGTCTGCTTATAATATGCAACTATAGGCTTCTGTTTTTGTTCAAATCCGTGAAAAAAATCCCAGGTTGAGTTTTTATTTTTTTTGGGCTTATTTAAAAAAAATGGTCACTTGTTAGGAAAATCTGACAAGCAACTTCGTTTCTTTACATTCATGTTAGCCATATTCTCCATTGCATTGATTGACACTCTGTCTGCTCACAGTAGCAGACAGAGTGTGTTATATTATCAGTGCAATAATATAAGTGATGTAGCGTAATTCGTCAAACATTCCACCCCCTCATTGGAGAAAAATCACGTTCAACATTGTGACGCTGTAATCCAAGCGATGTAGTAGACGTAATAGAGGAGTGGGATGACTTTAATTTATAAGGTAAATTTTTTATTTTTACAATGTATTTGTAATGTATTAATGATAACGGGCTATAATAAAAAACAAGTAGGCCTATACTGATGCTAACAGTATATACATTTGGTTCGAATATATTTTATTAGGCCATATTTTTATAAGCCCACATACTGTATAAATATGTGGCTATGTTACATCTTCCCCTTAAAGCTCTTGTCTTCATCTCCTTTTCCTTCTCTCCAACCCTGTTCTGCTCACAGGTGATCGGAGATGTGAGTGCCTCCCGCTTTGTTGCAGTTTGCTGATTTTGTAAAATAACTTCTGTTTTTACATTTCAAATAAAAGAGCGGTTTCAGTTTAATAAGTTGCAGGCTCATTTATTGGTAATAAATAATTCATAATAAATAATATTAATGATAATGAATAATCAAATTGTTTTGTTACCATTTAATATGTTTCATGTCTTGTTTTAGTTTTTGAAGCTAATATCTATGCTTTTCTTTATTTGGTTGTGGTCCCTTTAAGAATCTTAAGTTTCAGCAAGAGTCCTGCCATGTGACCAGTAATAAGGAAGTGAGCAAGCATGACACAGAGAGTAGCATGTTTAGTGGATCTGAAGCTATACTGTGATATTTGCATACATCTTGCGTCTGTTGTAGCATCGTGGGTATGTATTGACTGTTTTTAACAATATCTACGATTGCAGATTATTATTTGGGGATAGTGTTACATTTTATGGAGCTGATTGTTAGAAGCCTATTATTCTCTATCTACCTCACTATAGTTAATGACATTTCGTTGTGGTAATGTTTATACTGTTCCTAGACCATTAAAAGTTCATATAAATGCAGTACAGATAGAACAGTGATTAGAAAATTAAATACATGTTAAATATACATACATTACATTTAAAGATATTTGTTAAATACATAAACTTGTGACAGTAAAAGGAAAAAAAGGAGATTTAATTCATTTCATTTGATTATATCTGTTGATTATGCGTTTTGTATGTTTCAGTTTCACTTTTCCTCACAACGTCAATAAACCTGTGGACAAGGAGCCTATGTCTTCAGAGTCTTGATGTTAGGGAAGAGTTTATCTGGCTGTCAAGTTATATACAGCACATATACCGAGGGCAGTACACAAATAATATTGGGCTTGTTTTGGGCTTGTTTTTGAAGCTGCGGTTGCTCATTTGTCTTGCGAGAGTCTGCAACTCCCTTTACAGTCTTCGCTTCTACAGTCAGTCTGAAGGTCTGGATACGCGAGACTGGAATGTTTGTATCTCTGGTGCCTTCACTTCGATTGATAAATGAAATTAATGGAACACTTTTCGATTTTCACATTTAAAAGAGCAACTATTGGAAATGTAGTTTTGAAAGGTTTGGTGTGGCTTCAGTCATTTGAGGTGTGCTGACTAAGTTCAGTGATGTCAGGTGTGGGCTGGAGTGCATATATATACACTTGTGCAGTGCAGACAGAAGTAGTTCTATTTCCTGTGTTAGATGGAGGACACTGACTAAGAGAATGATGGCAATAACAATGAGGTCTCTGCAAATCATCTTCTTGCTGTTGGTTGTTTGTCTCAGCAACTTTGTTGCAAGTGCAGGTTAGTGCTTTTGTGTTTTTACTGTTAAACATTTTGGTAATTTGTGTGTTACAAAGTGTTGCAGCAGTATTTACATTAGTTTAGATTTGACCTACTTTCGATTACATCACAGCTAGGGTTATATGTTATATTTACTCACCCTCATGTCATTCCAAACCTTCTGTGGAACATAAAAGAAGATATTTTGAGAAATGTCTCAGTGTTTATTTACTTATTTTATTCTCCAAATTGGGCAACAGAAGTGAATGGTCACCAACATTCTTCAAAATATCATATTTCATGTTGCACAGAAGAGAGTCATACAGGTTTGGAATAGTGTGAGGGTATATAAATAAATGATGACAGAATTTTCATTTTTGGGTGAACTATCCCTTTAAGGCATAAAAACAACTATCAATGTCAGATGTAGTGACAACATAGCACTTACCTGATATACAAAAATAAGGTAAATTACTCATGATGCTAAGAAAATATGTGACTTAATACAGGAACATTCATCAACACTGTCCAGATGTTGGTTTTGGTGTCTGAACTAGTGCCAGAAACACCTGATTCTTCTGTGTTCTGCCTCACAACCCTTTATATCAAACTAAACACCTTAACTTCTGTTTGTTTGGATGCTGTGATCTGATCCAAGCTTTTTCTTTAATCATTTTTAGATGGGATTAAATATAAAGGTGACAATTACACCATCAAGTGTCCTGAACCTCAGAAAGATGCAATAGGTGTGAGTCTGCTCAGCAGACGTGAGGTCGGCCGAGAAGTCCTCTACTACGATTTTGCTAACGAAAAAATTGCTCCCTATAAAGACTATAAAGAACGTGTTAAAGTCGAAAATGACGACAAGACTCTGACTATACACATCATTAACCTACAACTGACAGACACTGGGGCCTACTGGTGCACCTGCAATACTACGTCAAACTCTGCAGAATGTTCAATGGCAAAGTCAGGTGTTTTTCTTCTGGTGCATGGTGAGTGTACATTTCTGTTTTGTTTTTTGACATGTCATTTTCAGTATTTAATTACAGACAATTTAGAATTCATTATGCCTGTAGTGAGTAAGTATGATTTAAGACATACATTATCATTTTTGGGTTAACTAGCTAATGATTTTTTTTATTATGTATGTATTTATTTATTATTAGTTAGTTTGTTTATTTGCTTATTTATTTATTTAGTTTCATTGAAAATAAATCTATGCTTTTATTCAGCAAGGATCCATTTAATCAAAAGTGACAATAAAGATGTTGACATTGTTACAAAAAATATATTTTAAATAAATTGTGCTTTTGAACTTTCTATTCATGAAAGAATCCTGAAAAAAGTATCATGGCTCAACCGTTTTCAAGACTGATAATGATAAGAAATGTCAGTTGAGCTGCAAATCAGCATATCTGATGATTTCTGAAGGATCAGGACTGGAGTAATGACTAGGGCTGTGCGATATTGAAGAAAAATGCGATATGCGATAACTCATTAAATAATGCGATATGTGATACGATAATGCTTAAAGTGCCACATGCTCAGATGAAACAGTTTTACTCAGCTGTTGCTGAGTCAGTTCTGTGAACTTCTATAACTATCTTGTGTCATATATATATATGGTTATTTGTATGTATGTATGTATCAAGAGTTCCTGTAAAACCACAACAAATTCCTTGTGTTTGCGCACACTTAAGTAGTGATTAAAGCCCATTCTGATTCTGATTCTAATAAGTGATTTTCTCTTTGTCTTTTGTTCATGGCCCCAAATATTGCAAGCCGTAGTGATATGCATATGTACATTTGCGATATTTCGATAATTTCGATATATTGCACAGCCCTAGTAATGATTTATTTTTCCTGTCCAGAAGGTACAGCAAGTGATACAAATAAATAAATAAATAAACACATGCATAGTTCTATTGCTATAGTTTGAAGCTGCTGATACTGCTTTGGCTGTACTTTAGTTATTTGGACTTCTCTTTACAGAGCCACCGATCGAACCAGCCCCTTCTGTAAGTGCTAATACAAAGTCGGGTGGCATGAATGACCTACTGATACCAGTGACGGCTCTGACAGCTGGCAGTGTGCTCTTACTGTTACTCCTTGTGTTTGGAGTGTGGTTCGTGCCCAAGGTGAATGTGATGCACCTAAAACTGGTTGCATGTCTGTACATCCGAAGGTCATCAGAAACTTTGTAAATGCATTACACATATGCACACTGGAAAGTGCTGATTTCAGCTTTGTCTGTTGCGGTATTTTTGTTGATCTCCAGCCATATGTTTACACACTTAGTGTCTATGACCAATACTTTTGTATTATATATCAAGAGGCATTTTTCCAGCAAATGTGTCTAGAGGTTAATAATCAAGTTGATTTGTTCCTTTCTTTTGTTCCAGATAAAGAAACTGATCAAAAGAAGAGAAGAAGAGAAAGTAGAAGAAGATGAGAAAAGGTGTAACAATGGAGTGTACGAGGTCATGACTGTTCAACGAAGGACAGAGTGTATATAAGGCATTCACATATATCCCTTATATCTCAAATATCCCTAGTTATATATATATATACACTCTAAAAAATGCTGGGTTAAAAAGTCCCACGCATCTACTTTAGTTCAATCTGACTGAGGTTGGGTTTCTGACCTATTGAAATATGGTAACATTCGAGGATTAAGAGAAATTAGTCAATCTCTTCTAAATGTCTTATTTGTTTACATAGAATTTTCTGTAAATATTTTATTCTGATTTATTTTGTATATTTATTTCAGCTTTGCATGAATGTTCAAACCCTTTAGCATTAAATGAGTGATTCGGTTTTGGCTGTAGATACTATGCTTTGATTCTCTTTTATTATTTATGCATTTGTTTATTCAATTTTCAATGAATGAATCTGTGTATGTGGGTTCTGCATATTGTGTAATTTAATTCAGTGTGGATGTTGCCCTTAAACACCTGATGTAAATATTTTGATAACTTCAATGTATAGATTCAGTAATACACATTTAAGTGTTGCTTTACAAGAACAATGGCAAATGTATGTCACTCGGGACAAATAACAAAAAAACAGGATTTGAAAATGTCGTCTTAGTTTCAGTCTGTGCTTTTATTTGTCTTGTGGTCTTAGTCTATATTGGGGGCCTGCAAAACGTGCTTCTCTGAGACAAAGCTGCAGACTTCCTCCTGTGGTGGAACATGTTCATGTCAAGACCCCTCTAGAGGAAACCTGCCTCTCCTTCTGAGAATTTCACCTCTATTCTCACTTTAGTCCACCAACATGTACACCTTTGTCAAATGGCTTTATTCAAATTTGAGTGGCGTTTGAAACCTCAAAGTGATAAACATTGCATTTGGGGAAAACTGTTGTGATTCATTTGCCAGAAACAAGAGGATGTGTGAGAAAATGTGTGGGTCTAAAAATGTCAGTCAGTCCTGCCTAACTACATTTAGTATAGTTTATTTTGTACCTGGGAAATGTCACACAGTTGCCATCAAGTCGGTTTCAAAAAGTATTTTCTGGAAAAAGAAAGTCAAACATTTGCTGAAATGTGTGCTTACATTGACTGGAAACATGTGCAAGGTTTTGGTTTTAGGAAACAAGTTTTGGTGTGATGTGTATTGCAGCTTTTCTCAGTTGTTTAAAAAAACCCTCTTAAACCATAACGACATTTCTCACAAATTCTAAACCACTTTTCAAAACCTTAAACACAAATTCTCCATTTCACAGCAGATGCTCATGTTGAAAGCCCTAACATTTAGAAAAACCCACAGCGCATTACAGCTTGACTGGTTAATACACAATTCTCACCAGGTGAACATTAGTGAGAACATCAGTGTACGGAACGTTTTCTAGTCATCTGGTGAGCCTCTCATGGGTTATACCTCAGTTCTATCAACAAGAGTGATTGAAAACTCTTAATAAAAGGGGTCATATGATGCTATTTTAAAGATCATTATTTTGTGTATTTGGTGTAACAGAATATGTTGACATGCTTTAATGTTCAAAAAACACATTATTTTTCAAATACTGTACATTATTGTAGGTCCTCTATGCCCCGCCTCTCTCAAACGCTTCGTTTTCTACAAAGCCCCCTCCTTTGACAAGCGCAGTCCGCTCTGATTGGCCAGCTGACCCAGTGCACTGTGATTGGCCGAACACCGCAAGCACTCCTCGGAAATGTAACACCCTTACCATAATCCCGAGCTTCATCTTTCAAAATAAATGTAAAGACAGAGCCCGAAAGGGGAACAGAGTCCCGTGACAGACACAGTGATGAAGCTGGTATGTTATAAGTTGCATCAACGATTTAACAGACTTTAATTGCAGTGTTCTTAATCTTTATAAGTTAGTAGTACTGTTCGGGTTTACAGTGTGGGGGCGTGTTAGAACGAGCCGTTTTAGGTAGGTGTTGCTGACTCTTAACTTTTATAAAGAATATCTCTTTGGATTTGAGACTTTAGTCTTTGCAACTTTACAGATCTTCTTTATGCACCAAGAGCTTGTAACACTCCAAAGAGAAAGGAAAACTTGAAATCGCATCATATGACCCCTTTAATAAAAGAAATGTGTTTTTGATAGGAAATGTTTTGGGTGCTGGTTAAAAGTTCTTCAAACTAAAATATCAATATTATTAATTCTTAAAAATATATATACAATTTAATAATATTTGCTGGCCTGAAAATATGTATTTTGATATTTGTATATTATCTTTTAGATTTTTGCTGTTTCATAAATTGTTTGTCATAACTTTATTGTTTTTATAATTTTGTTTTTACTTATTTTTTAACACTATAAAAAGGAAAAACAAATGGTGGATCTTTTAAGACATTTATCAGTTACAACAAAAATAAAATATTAAATTTCCTTTTACAGTGATACCAATTTAACCTAAAGAGACCAATCATGTCCATGTTATTTGTCAACTATAGCCTACTCCTGCAGTTGCAGCGTCAAACCTTCAGGTGTGTAGTTTTATCTCTATCCATAAGGCGGAGTTATCCACAGGTGTGTGTGTGTGTGTGTGTGGACAGGTAAAGCTGGAGGTGTGTGGGAGTTTAGTTCTAACCGATTTAGTTGGTTTAGTATAAGGACGATTTAAAATACATACATTTTGATCGTGGTACATGTGCTTTGCGGACAGCCAGAGAGAAATAAATCGCAACGATCGATCATTTTTCAGATGTTGCGATCTCAGATACGGACCTAATAGATTAAAGTCGACATTCTCAGGATAAAAAGGACCCCACTATCCATAAGGCGGAGTTATCCACAGGTGTGTGTGTGTGTGTGTGGACAGGTATAGCTGGAGGTGTGTGGGAGTTTAGTTCTAACCGATTTAGTTGGTTTAGTATAAGGACGATTTAAAATACATACATTTTGATCGTGGTACATGTGCTTTGCGGACAGCCAGAGAGAAATTCTACGCAACGATCGATCATTTTTCAGATGTTGCGATCTCAGATACGGACCTAATAGATTAAAGTCGACATTCTCAGGATAAAAAGGACCCCATGAACATGAAGAAAACATACTCTGGTAAGTACAGGACCACTGAAAGTTTCGTGACAACAACTGACATGACATTTGCGCTTATAAATAGCAGTAAACTTCGATCTTATCATTAAGCTATGTAAAAGTGAAAGCAAACTTGAAACTTGAAGTTCTTTTGAGCTCTGATATAGGCTACTCTTTTCCTATTATAAACAATCAATTTAAATTTATATGTAGGCTAGGCTATGCAAATTACTAGGGGGAAAAACAAATAATAATTTTATAAGCAATTAAATATAGTTAGGCCTGGTAATACAGGCCTAATTAACAGATGAACTGATAACGACATACCATCATTTCAATTAACTAAGATGAGAATCTGCTATAGATACGGACCTAATAGATTAAAGTCGACATTCTCAGGATAAAAAGGACCCCATGAACATGAAGAAAACATACTCTGGTAAGCACAGGACCACTGAAAGTTTCGTGACAACAACTGACATGACATTTGCGCTTATAAAATAGCAGTAAACTTCGATCTTATCATTAAGCTATGTAAAAGTGAAAGCAAACTTGAAACTTGAAGTTCTTTTGAGCTCTGATATAGGCTACTCTTTTCCTATTATAAACAATCAATTTAAATTTATATGTAGGCTAGGCTATGCAAATTACTAGGGGGAAAAACAAATAATAATTTTATAAGCAATTAAATATAGTTAGGCCTGGTAATACAGGCCTAATTAACAGATGAACTGATAACGACATACCATCATTTCAATTAACTAAGATGAGAATCTGCTATAGTTTGGCTCGTGTGCTCTGCATTTTCCATCAGATACCCTTTCGACTTGGTTTATATGGCATTATTTTGTGTATTTATTTTTTATTTTTTTTATAGATAAACATGTCCAGTACTTTCTGACTAACCTTTAGGGTCTTGCACAATTATTTAACAGATGAATTATTTTCTTAAGAGTGTCGTTTTTTTTTTTTGGGCGCAATTTTTAGTCTCGTGCCACTATAGCACAGTGAGCCAAATGCCAGTGATCTAGTGATTTTTTTTTTTTTTTCATTTGTAAATCTATAGTAAAATTATGTTTTGTCATGGTTTATCGACAACTGGCGACTGCAACTGGCGCAAGCATCATGCTGTTGTTATGGTTACTCCCGCTGGCAAACGCTATGTGCTATCTACTTAAAAATATGGTAACAAGGTTTTAAGGCTTGACTTCTTTAATGACATTTACCTGATTAATCGTAAAATCTGCTAAATTATTTAATAAATGACATGGTGAATTTAATATTATTAGTGAAATGTGTTCATTTATTTTAAGTTGATTCTCAAAAGTCTGTGATTTTAAATAAGGCCTGTTTGTATTTGATTTTGAGTTATCTTGTACAATTAAAAGACTGTATATAGCTAGACAGCTCAAGTAGGAAAAAACTTGTAACTGCACTGGCGTTAGCAAAGCTTCTGCTCATTGAGCAAAGCATCATGCGTTATAGTGTTAGTACATGCAGTTATCCACAAACTAACCATAAGATACCACAATAGAAATAACAGAAACTCTTTCAAATGTCAAACATAACTGTATGTTTCCCTTCACTCAAAAACATATGAAATAGCACTTAATTTCATATTCTCTTAAAATAAATCAGCTTAATCAGTTTCTCAATTCAAGCCTCAAAATTGCTTAAGTTTCCTTAAAAAAATTAGGAAAACATATCTCTTGGTTTTATTTTTAAAATGAAAATTACAAGACCCATGATTCATTTTTTACAGTGTACTGTAGGGAAATCACTTTTGGTGAGACCCTAGAACAGTGATCCTCAAATCTGGCTCGCGAGATCCACTTTCCTGCAGAGTTTAGCTCTAACCCTAATCAAACACACCTGAGTTTGCTAATCAATGTCTTCAGGATCATTAGAAAATCACAGGTAGGTTTGTTTGATTAGGGTTGGAGCTAAACTCTGCAGGAAAGTGGATCTCGCGAGCCAGATTTGAGGATCACTGCCCTAGAAGAAAGATGAACCTTACAACCCTAGAAGAAAACCTCAAGTCTGGTCTATACATTTACGATGATCGCAGCAACTCATTTATGCAACCATTTTCACAGGACATCCTATGATTTTAGACATTATAGCATAGAGAACATTCATTGCTTGTTCTCACAACTTTAACCACACTGCTTCCCCTACGTTGTGCAACAGAGCCTGTGGCGCCATAGTGCCCTTCCATTTAGAACAGCCATATGTTTCTTCCCTATAATCTCAATGCAAAAGCCGAACTCTCTGTACACAATGATTTTGCAGGAATGTCCTCAGGCCCGCCAAAGTCATTGTCACAGCACACCCAACTCCTTGCACACACATGTTGGATCATGTAATCAGTCCTTTTTCTCTTTCCTTCTCTGGCAGCACACAGCGTGTGTGATCTCATTCAGAGAATATCCCTCAAAAACAACCTTGGCCTCCACTGAAAGAACAATGGTGCTTAAAGGGATAGTTCACCCAAAAATGTAAATTCTGTCATCATTTACTCACCCTTATGTTGTTCCAAACATGTATGACTTTCTTGGATAATTTGAAGAATGTTTCAACTGCTTTTGTCCATAGAAGGAAAGAGAGGGGGGAAACGTGACATTCTTCAAAATATCTTCTTGTGTTCTGCAGAAGAAAGAAAGCCAAACAGATTCGGAATGACATGAGAGGGAATAAATTATGACAGAATTTTCATTGTTGAGTTAACTATCCCTTTAAAATCATAAGCGCTTCAAGTGTGTTTCATTGATTTATGTATTTCAGAGAATACACGACACTTTGCACATGTGTGCTTTGTCATGTAACACACCCTGAGCGCTTGAGGTAAATCAGTAACTCACGATGAGAAGTAATCAAACATCAGCACAATAAAACTCTGCTAGACATGTTCCCGCATAGACGGTGTAAATCACACAGATCATTTATTAATCACGACACACTGTCAGCTCTTTCTGCAACAGTTTAATGCTTGGATGAACTTCTGATTCCTGAACAGTTATGAGTGCCTCCATTTTGTTTATTTGACACCGTTAAGTGTTAAGTTTATCTGTGAAAACCGAATTTCTACATGTTGGATTGCATGCTGTACTGTCCATGTGGAATTAATGCTAAAAAATGTCTCCCATGTCTCATCTGGAAGTGAATCATTTTGAGCGGATGAATGAATCTCTTTGTTAATCCTTTATTTTGGATTATTGCCCAACAGAGATTACTGAGGCAATAGAGACTCTGCACTATAGCACTTTTTTTTTTATCAGTATCTGGCTCCTTTTCCTTCACTGCCTCCCTCCCCTTTCCTGACCTGCCCTGTCATCACAGTCGAGCTGACAGGTGAGTCAGCGGCAGCACAAATCTCCTGTGAAATTAACCCAGACCAAGAGAGCTTTGAAATTCCTCTTTGCTCCAGAGGCATGTCGACTTGGATGGTTGATCACAGTCATTTTCAGTACCATGTCACACATTTCACATGTGCTAAAACGTCTCCTTTGACAGCACTTGACTTGACACTGAAATTGACAGATAGTTTGGTCTTTTCCTGCCTCCTCCATGTCTCCCTGCTTTTGTCTTTGTCACTCAAGACAAAGTTAGTTTAGTGATTACTGAATGCGGACACTGGAATGTCATGGATTGATAATGGACACTTCGTCTCACAGGGTGTGTACGGCTAAGAATCAGGCGAGGAGTTAAAGATTATCTACCGTCACTATCACGTCTTGCAAAGCTATGCATTTCCGCTAGCATGACCACATAGAACTGCAAAAATAATGACTGTATTCAAGCAAACTTCCCAAACACTCCCCTGTCTCTCATTGGTCAGTCAAACACATAGCCCCGCCCCAAACTCACACCATTGGTTCAGTGGGTGTTGCTATGCCAGGCTGTTCGGAATGTTTTGATAGCGCCACAGATTTAGATTGTTTACATTTTTTCAGAGGAATCAACCTACATTTTTGTCACTTATACAGTGGGTTGTTGGTTGGATAAACATTTTACCACAGATAAACTGACACATTTAAGCTTTAAAGTTCAGATTAAACTTAACTGAAGTGTCTCTCTGACTAAGATACTTGCTGCGTCCCAATTCGCATACTATCCGTCCTAAATAGTATTCAAAAATAGAATTAGTATGTCCCAAATCATAGTATGTTTTAAAAAGTATGCCAAAGATCCCGGATGGTCTACTACTTCCGGGTAGAATTCGAAGTGCAGATCGATGCACACTCTAACGGCTAATATTGCCCACAACACATTGCGCGGTGGACGAGGATTCAATTAGAACTACAAACACGCATTAAAAGTCTTAAAAACTACAAACATGGCGGATGTACGCGACCAACGGACAGGTAGATAAACGGATCTGAGTGATAAATAATCAATGTTTAACCTGATGAAAAATTATAAATGTAATGTTATCCACGTTATATTTCATCTGCAGCAACACTGTGAACTTTTATAATGATACGTTAGGTCGTTAACTTTTAAATGCATCATTATGCAAACACATGAGCAGAGTTCTCGGCA